ATCATGAAAAGATTACAGGTTTCTGTTTTATCTGTCAGATTAGTTCTTCTCCTGTAATTCTACATTATTTAATTTAAATGTTCTCTGTGTGAATCTTTTTCCTTTTAATGGTCTGTAAAGCAATAAACCGTAATAATCCTACATAAATCTAGGAGTAGGTCTCACTGATCTCTGTGGGACTTATATATGAATAAGGATATTTAAGTTATGCTGTCATCTTATTCTCTGAAGTTGTTACATTTTCCCCCTATAGTTTGTCACATTTCTTCTACACCTGGAAGTGAATTCTACTGAATTCCATAGCAATTTCGTAGGGATGAATAAAATTGAAAGAAAATTGCAATGAGGAATACATTTATTTGGGAGTAAGCTTCCTTAAGGTCAATTGGATTTTTAAAAACAACATTGATATAAATAGGACATATTCTTTTTTTTAGTAAATATCATTTCAGTCTCCCTCTTCATGCTGTCCTTTCACCTATGTTTATACTTTCTTGCACTGAAAGAAAATGAATTCTTCTCACTTCTACAGTAATGGCCAAAATTGTAGAAACCTTTTGGGAAAAGTGTATTTTCTAAAACTAGCTAAAAACACCACTTTTTTTTTTGGAGTAGTACCATAAAATTATATATCAATGGAAAGAGAATTTAATCAAGAATGTGATGCAATAACTTTTATGAAGAATTTCATGAAGAATAGAAGTTACAGTATAAAGAAGAAAAATAAAACATAGAAAAAACAAGGTATACAAACATTATCACCATAGAAAAAACAAGATGTACAAAAATTATCACCATGTCCGTTAATCCTTAGTTGAGTAACCTTTTAGCATGAATTATGCCCTTACAATGTCTTCCCATGGAGTGAACCAAGTCTTTTAGTTCTGCAGCTGTTATAATGTGAAACCAAGATTGAATGATTACTTCTATTAACTGGGTTTTATTGCTGGATCACTTCTGACTAACAAGTTTCTTTAGTCAGCTCCATAGATTTTCAATTGGGTTAAGGTCTGGGCTATTCCCAGGCCATTCCAGCAGTGGAATAGGATTACCTTGAAACACCCCCCTCCCAAAAAAATGTGGTGTTATTAGCCATCAAACCTCAAAAATACGCTTTTCCCAAAAGGTTTCCATAATTTTGGCCATTCCTGTATCTCAGCATAGAGCATACTTTTTAAATAAGCTAATGAAATACTCATTCTGTGAATTTCATGCCTTACATTTAAGATCTAATAAGGTCTACCTAATGACCTTATTAGGTAGCTTTATTTTATTTTCTCATGTGGGTTGTTTTATAAGGAATTTTTTTTCAAAAAGAAGAAAGAAATGGTGAAACTTTGGCAGGATGTGATGCTTTTTTCATTTATTTAATCACTGAGTAAGGAGTGTTTATAAATGTGACAGGTCTACCTTTTTCAACTTTCTGTCTAACTTTTTCAACTCTCAGTGATACAGCCTCCGTCTTGAATTCTGATGAGTTTCCTCATCTTTGACCTCCATTTATGTTTATGTTCATTGAACCATGTTAATCTTCATTAACCTTCAACGAGTTGAAGCAATAAATTTACTGTAACACAACCAGAACCTGCCATCTCTGGATGGTCTGCAAAAGTGCCACTTTTTGCATCTGTTCTAAGATGTTGAATCAAGTTGATTTATAAACTGAAGACCAATCAGAGGGGCATTGGTCAGCAAAAGGTCTCTGGAAAAAAAAAGTTGATTATGTTGGGCTAGAATTATTGAGCAAACATCTTCCTACTTTGACTTGACAGGTTTCATTATTTACTTATTTAGAAATTTATAAAGGTGCCCAACTCTACAGGCAAGTATTAGAAGAAAAACCAGATTTAAAAAAAAAATTTTTTTTTTTTAAAAATCAGACAGAATAGAGTGGAGTGAAGTGGAATGGAATGGAATGGAATGGAATGGAATGGAATGGAATGGAATAGAATAGAATAGAATAGAATAGAATAGAATAGAATAGAATAGAATAGAATAGAATAGAATAGAATAACAGAGTTGGAAGGGACCTTGGAGGTCTTCTAGTCCAGCCCCCTGCTTAGGCAGGAAACCCTACACCACTTCAGACAAATGGTTATCCAATCTCTTCTTAAAAACTTCCAGTGTCGGAGCATTCACAACTTCTGGAGGCAAGTTGTTCCACTCATGAATTGTTTTAACTGTCAGGAAATTTCTCCTTAGTTCTAAGTTGCTTCTCTCCTTGATTAGTTTCCACCCATTGCTTCTTGTCCTGCCCTCAGGTGCTTTGGAGAATAGCTGGACTCCCTCTTCTTTGTGGCAGCCCCTGAGATATTGGAAGACTGCTATCCTGTCTCCCCTAGTCCTTCTTTTCATTAAACTAGACATACCCAGTTCCTGCAACCGTTCTTCAAAGTAGCCAGGTTTTCAATGCTTTTTAAAACATAGCCAGGATGAGGGTCAAACCAGGGATGAAATCCAGCAGGTTCTGACAGATTCTGGAAAATCAGTCGTGGAAATTTTGAGTAGTTCAGAGAACCAGCAAATACCACCTCTGGCTGGACCCAGAGTGCGGTGGGAATGGAGATTTTGCAATATCCTTCCCCCAGGAGTGGGGTGGGAATGGAGATTTTACAGTATCCTTCCCCTGCCATGCCAACCAAGCCACACCACACCCACCAAGCCATGCCCACAGAACTGGTAGTAAAAAAATTTGGATTTCACTACTAGGTCAAACATATGGAGGAAGATGGTGGTTCATCCAACAAGAGTTGTGACAGAGGAGGCACATATTCCATTGTGATCATTTGGTCAGCTGAATTATATCTCTACATAAGAGGAGGGTGAAAAAAACAATTGGGAACCATTTGTGAAACTGTGCAGTGGTTGAAGAATCAGGATACTGCAAAATCTCCATTCCTACCTGACTCCTGGGGGAAGGATATTGCAAAATCTCCATTCCCAGCCCACTCTGGGGGCAGCCAGAGGTGGTATTTGCCAGTTCTCCGAACTACTCAATATTTCCGCTACCAGTTCTCTGAACTGCTCACAATTTCTGCTACTGATTCTCCAGAACCTGTCAGAATCTGCTGGATTTCACCCCTGATCCACTTTCCACCTGCTGTTGGCTAGAAACCCTGCTCAAAGTTTGTGCCTAATCTAGAACTGTCTACCAGAGAAACTGTACCAACTGTATACACAGACAGTTCTTAATTAACCTCATCAGTTTGTTATAAAACCAGTGTAAAAATCCAGACTGCAATGTTGTGTAGGCAGAAGCCAGCCAAGGCAGCAAAAAACAGGCCTCCTCCCTTTTTTAAAAAAATCCACTCAACCAAGAAACATGGGCTCCTTCACTAAGCCCACAGTACTTTAGATATTTCTGTTTGATTCTGCAATATTCCTTTGAATTACTGCTTGAAATTCAGTAGTCCTACACCCCCCACACCCCGCTTACCCTCATCCTTCAATATTTCTTGTCTAATGGATCCACCTGGTGCACAGAAACAACCTAAAGAGAGAAAAAACTAGTTGCAAAAAATGTTCCCCTTTTCCAAGCGTCCCTCGGGGTTAGGGATTGATGCAGATGTTTCAAGAGCTGTGTAAGCATTGATGCTTCTGAGGCGTACAACAGATCTTTAATCTTGCTGGTTAGACTGTCATCGCTGCACTGCACATAAAAGCCAACTCATCTTCTAAGGGCTGCAGCTGCAAGTCGCTCATTTTTTTGGCAAGAGAGCTTCAAATGGGTTGACCCTGCTTTGCCCATTTTACTTTCAGAAAAAATCTGCCTGAAAAGAAAAAAGAAGAAAAAAAAAAGGAAGTGTAAAAAAATCAAACTATCTTGGATAGAAATGGATGAGCTAATAGAAAAAAGGAATTACTCTCTGGAGAAAGTTCTATCTGTAGAACCTGCATCAAATGAGACCAACATGACTTAAAACAATTTGCAACCAATCTTCCTATGTTCCTCTAAAATGATTTTCTCATTTGGTGGCACAGTGGTTAGAATGTGGTACTGCAGACCAATTCTGCCGACTGCCAAGGAGTTAGATTCTCATCGACTCAGGGTTGACTCAGCCTTTCATCCTTCCGAGGCCAGTAAAATGAGGACCCAGATTGTTGAGGGCAATAGGCTGACTCTGTAAACCACTTAGAAAGGGCTGTAAAGCACTGAAGCAGTATATAAGTCTAAGTGCTATTGCTTTTGGTATTTGAGTTACTGATCCTGGAAAGCTAGCCCAGAAAACTTATTTCTGGGTGTATTGGTACTGAAAGAGTCCTGGTGGCACAGTGGTGAGAGTGCAGTATTGCAGGCAAACCCTGCCCGCAGCTTGGAGTTCGATCCTGATGGGACTCAAGGTGGCGCAGTGGTTAGAATGATGTATTACAGGCTATTTCTGCAGTTTGGCAGTTCGATACTCACTGGCTCAAGGTTGACTCAATCTTCCATCCTTCCAAGGTTGGTAAAATGAGGACCCAGATTATTAAGGGCAATCTGCTGACACTGTAAATCACCAAGAGGGTGTTGTCAAGCACTATGAAGTGGTATTATTTATTTATTTGTTTGTTTGTTTGTTTGTTTGTTTGTTTGTTTAGATTTATATGCCGCCCTTCTCCGGAGACTCAGGGCGGCTTACAATGCGTTAAGCAATAGCCTTCATACTTTTGTATATTTTATACAAAGTTGCCCCCACAAACCGGGTCCTCATTTTACCTACCTTAGAAGGATGGAAGGCTGAGTCAACCTTGAGCCTGGTGAGAATTGAACTCACAGTAATTGCAGGCAGCTAGAAGCTAAATACCACCTTTTAACAGTAGCATTAGTCTGCTGCGCCACTCAGGCTCCATATAAGTCTAAGTGCTATTGCTTATTGCTGATTCCCTGTTTGTGATAAGTTAGCATTTCATGGTGGAAGTTCCTGGCTGTGGCAAGGTTATCTGGAAGTTGCTGGGATTGTATGCAAGTGGATCCTTTTCTGGATCAACTAAACAGTTTTCCTTTACATTTGTCAATGCAGGTTGGGGGACACACTATGCTGCCAATCCGCTGGATGCCTCCTGAAAGCATTATGTACCGGAAGTTCACCACAGAGAGTGATGTCTGGAGCTTTGGAGTAATTCTCTGGGAGATCTTCACATATGGAAAACAGCCTTGGTTCCAGTTGTCAAATACAGAGGTATCGTGCATCTAGATTTTGACTAAAAGAAACATTAACATTACCAATCCGTGCTGTTCCTTTTACTTGATCAGCAGTCAAAGGAAGTCCAATCTGGTTGCAAAGGGTTCTTTGGGATTTTAGGGGATGTTGCTTCCCCTAAGAGCCATGGCGGTGCAATGGTTAGAATGCAGTATTGCAAGCTAATTCTGCCGACTGCCAGCAATTCGATCTTTTTTTTTTTTTTTTAATTTGATTTATATGCCGCCCTTCTCCGAAGACTCAGGGCAGCTTACAATGTGCTCAGCAATAGTCTTCATACTTTTGTATATTTATACAAAGTCAGCTTATTGCCCCCACAAACTGGGTCCTCAATTTACCTACCTTAGAAAGGATGGAAGGCTGAGTCAACCTTGAGCCTTGGCGAGATTCGAACCCTGCAGTAATTGCAGGCAGCTGGTCTTAATAACCAGCTTAATAACAGGGTGCCTTAAACCCCTGTACTTACCAAGGCTCTTGACAACAGATCTTGACAAGCCCAAGGTTGACTCAGCCTTCCATCTTTCTGAGGTCAGTAAAATGAGGATCCAGATTGTTGAAGGCAATAGGCTGACTCTGTCAATTGCTTAAAGAGGGCTGTAAAGCACTGTGAAGCGGTATATACCATGTTTCTCCGAAAATAAGACCCTGTCTTATATCTTTTTGAACCCCAAAATAAGCACTTGGCCTTATTTTCAGGGAGGTCTTATTATTTTGGGGCGTGTGGAGCAAGATGGGGCTCCTCTTGCCGTCTTACCTGATTTCCAGCTCTGCGTTTAAATATTTTTTGGGAGGACTTATTTTCAGGGGGAGGTTTATTTTAGCGCATGTGCTCAATAAACCCGATTGGGCTTATTATCAGGGGATGTCTTATTTTCGGGGAAACAGGGTAAGTCTTAGTGCTATTGCTATTGCTTCAATTCTTCCAAGTGACTAAATTATTTTGAAAAATGAGAAATGGGCAGTTTCTTGGAAGAATGGTCTCTATACCTGGGCTTAATTTTTATTTATTTATTTTATTTGTATCCTTTTATTATTTTTACAAATAATTCAAGATGGTGAACATATGCAACACACGTTCCTCCTCCTATTTTCCCCAGGCTAAGAGAGAGTGACGCGCCCAAGGTCATCCATCTGGTTTTAAATGACTAAGGTGCGCCGTGAACTCATAAGTCTCTTGCTTTGTAGCCTGGTGCCTTACCCACTAGACCAAACTGGATATCTTGTATTAAATACATTGTATTTAATGCACTAAATGCATTAAATGCATTGCATTAATGTAATGCATTAAATACATTGTATTGTATCTAATGTATGGTTCCCTCAAGTTTTTTGAGATAGACCTGGCATCACCATTTAAATACTACACACACACACATACACACACACACACACATAGTAGAATGCCCATGAATAATGTGAGGGGAAAGAGAATCCAGCCCCGAATTTTAAGAGATTCATTGAAAGTGGTAGGAAAGTGAAATTCTATCAGAGTTTGTTGCAGCACAGACAATCAGACAATTCAGCAGGATTCAAACTTCTTTATATCCAATACCATGCAGGAGAATTCAGCATACAATATCAGGAACACAGAAGCAATATTCACAGAAGCAAGTCATTACAGAGTAGAGAGATACAGTGGCTAATATATTGTACAGAGGCTCCCATTACAGAGGCCAAACCAACTCTTATATACAGTTCAGCAAGTCTAAGCCACACCCAGACTCTAAACTGTCTCTTATGGCCCCGTACGAACAAATACTATGTTTCAGTTTCCAAACAGTCCCCATTGGCTGACCTGTTACCATGTCTATCCAAACAGTTCCCATTGGCTGATCTGTTTCCTATTCCAGTCTATGAATATTCATACACTGACAAATTCATGGCTTGGTTAAAAGGGTTCCAGAAAAGTAGTGGCAGCTTTCAATTTATAGAACCCTTGGGTATAAATGGGAAGTTTCTGGGTTTGGTCTGTTGTGTGTCAACCCTGAAGTTGACCTGACCAAAGCCATTCAGTGTTGCCACACTGGAGCTGAGGGATAGGGAGGGGGGTGGGTTTGAGATAGCTCAGATTCTGTAGCCAAAACAAAATACTTTCTCTTGGGAACCAAGGACATTCTCACACCCGGTCAGAGGAAGGTGGAGTGATGTCACCAGGCAGCCAGGCCACACCGTGATTGGACCATGTGACTAATTGTTTTGAGAAAGTGACACATTTTTATTTTTAATTAGGTGAAAACAGCGGGAACCTTCAGAGTCGGTTTTCACCAGATACATGCCAATATGCTATATTCCAATAAAGCTATTCTTTGAGGAATCGATCTCAACTCTGATCTCAGCCTCAGAGTTTTGCTTTCTATGGGTCTATTACTTGGAACCCTGACATTGTGATTAACTTCAAATTTTGGGAGTTACCATTCTTTGTTTTTGATTGGAACCAAATATGAAAACAAGAGAAAGTCTGTGCTGCTAGGACATGGTTTGAGTTGTGATAGCTTTAATTAAGGTTTATGGGAGAAAGAACAGCTGGAGTGTAAGACATAAAATCTGGCAACACACACTGTACTGAGCCATAATGTTTATTGTTTTCTTTACCAGTGGCAATTGAGGCTTAATGTGATACATGGGTTCTTTGAGGTTCTTTGGGATATTTTTGATTTGATTTTTATCCTAGGCTGCTAACCAAGGCATGCATGGGTAAAGACAAGAGCACAAGGGCAAATAAGCCAGAAATTAGCCCAGAAAGCCTTGATGATTGCTGTCTTCTGCAAAGAGCAAAACAAAACAAAACAAAAAAACAACAACAACCAGTGATTTAAATAAACCATGGCTTCATGTAGGAGCAGTCAACTTTTTCTCCAAAACCAAAAGGCATCATGCAATTATGGATTTTCCAAGACTGTTCAAGGAATTGTTGGTACAGATCATACTTGGTGACAGAAATCTAGAAATGTATTATTTAGATCAGGGGTCTCCAACTTTGACAATTTTAAGACTTGTGGACTTCAGCTCGAGAAGTCCACAAGTCTTAAAGTGTTAGACCTGCCAGCACTTAAACCTCTAAATAGAAACGATCCTTGGCGCCATTTGTCAAGAAAGATACAATTTTATTAGAAGACAAGAGTACCAAAGTGTATTACAAGACACATTAGAAGACAATTGTATTTACAAATGTATTAGAAGACAAGTGCACCAAGACCCCTAAGTTCATCTTTTCATTCCCTTAACTGACTGCCATCGCTGACCCCTACCCCATGACCATTTGGGTTCAGCAAGATGTTTTCAAAATGGTCACTTCAAGCTTGGTTGGTATGCATCTGTGTTCTTCTCCCAGCCAGCTGACCTTGAAGCATCATCTTGGGGAGATGCGGAAGTTACTTTTGCTTTCCCCCAAACATTCCCCTTCCCATCCACCATCCCTAGAGTTCATGGCAGGCTGTCACCGCATGGTAGCGAAGCACACAAGCAAGTATAAGGCGGCAGTTGACATTGAAAGTTGCCAAGGTTGGAAACCTCTGTTTAGCTCATGCAGATGGGGGAAGGAGTTTGGTTTTAAAAAGTAACATATATAAATATATAAATCAGGCAATGCATAAAATTAATCCTCTGTATTTCCTGTTGCAGGTCATTGAGTGCATCACCCAAGGCCGAGTCCTGGAGAGGCCCCGGGTTTGCCCCAAGGAAATTTATGATATCATGCTGGGATGCTGGCAGAGAGAACCTCAGCAGAGGCTGAACATTAAGGAAATCTACAAGCTCCTTCATGCTCTGGGCAAAGCCACTCCAATCTACTTAGATATCCTCGGCTAGCAGCAACCAAGCTTTGAAGTTGTTGCTGTGTCTTTTTTCTCCCCACCCTACCTCTCCCTTGACCTCAAGCCAACATATTCATATAAACTCAAGTGCCTGCTATACATACAACACTGAAAGAAACAAAACCGAAAGAGACAAGTTAAAGGGAAACATTGAAAGCCTCAATCATATGTAAAGCAGTTGGGGCTATATACAGAGAGAGAAAGAGAAAGAGAAAGGGAAAGAGAAAGAGAGGGAGGGAGAGGGAGAGCTTTTGCTCCCATAGCTGCTGCTATTAAAAAATATAACATCCCAGAAGCAGAAGGAAAACGTTAGAGAGATTGAAAGAGTTCTACAGTATTAAACAGAACACAAGGGGGGGCGGGGGGGAAACAATATTTAACTTAAGATATGGAACTGCAAATCCTACAGTGTCCTTTAGATTCTGGCTACCCAATAGAGTTCAATTCATTTGGAAATATTGAATAACAACAAAAGAAAAGTTGATGAAAGCATGCCTAATCGGGCACCAAACTGGCAATGGTCCTGTTATTCCAGGATGATTTCCCTCACCCCACCCCTGGAGTAACTTCCTTTTTAAGAGATCTCATCTACCATCGTAATGCCACCAACCCCACCTTGCCCTTCTGGCTTTAAACAATTCTGGAATCTCTGTTGTCTCCGGCGTATCTCATTCTACTCCAAGGTTTCTGATTCTCTCCTATGTCTAAATGTTTCAGTTTTGGAATATATACCATTCAGAAGGTTCACTTCACCTCCTGGTCAAATGAAGCATCAGAGGAACGTCCACCCAGCTGCAAAGAAAAACAAGAATGGATCTAGTATCTTTTACCGGATCGTTTTCATATTTCCTTTCCTTTTCAAACGAGAGTCCTGGAAATCATCTTGAGGACCCAAACAAATGTCTGCAACAGCCATACGCAAAGAAAGTTTACGAAGTGGATAGCTTGGAGACAAAATCCCCAGAAATTCTCACCGGAATAATTCTAGATATGCAAAACACCAGATACAGCTATTACAATTATTCCATGGACAACTATTGACCCAGCTGTCAATTCCAACAAAGTGGCTTGAAAGCTACGATCTCAGTGGAGGTGGTCCCCCTAATTTTTTTTTATATGTATATATATATATCAAAAAAAAATAATAATTCACAGTGATTTTTGCTGCACTTTCTCCCCCCTGCTTCTTGTAAAGAATATTTTACAGTTCTGATCTAATCCAACTTCTCATCAATCCTGTGTCGGGTAGGTCCTCTGGCCCCATTCTGGACACGCTGGTGGTCTTAAAGTCAAGGAAAGAGGAGAGGTATGTCTGAAGGCTCCACAGAGAGTTTATGATGAAGCACAAAGTAGAATCCAAATATTCTCTATGTTTACTTCCTCTGCTGTGACCTGGGTCAATCTGTATCTCTTGCCACTTCAGTGAGGAATGGATGTTCTCCTTTGGTTGTAGCGTAGAATCCATCTGAAATATGAACTGAAGGGGGCTGGGTCCCCTCTGATCAATCTATGATGATTCCTTCTATCCCACCCCCCTCCATGTTTCTCTTCCCTCCCCCCCCCCAATCCTTTCTGCCTTGGCTTGCCAACTGATTTTTACCCAATAAACTTACCAAAAAAAAAAATAATAATAAGAGAGAGAGAGAGAGAGAGAGAGAGAGAACCCAGGGTTGGAATCTGTTCAGCAGCTAAAAAAGGCATATAAACAGCTGCACCTCCCCTCTACCTCTTCCTTTCTTGGTCAACATTCCTCTCACATTAGCAACCTCCTGAAAAGACTGGCGCATCAAGACACTGTGAAATGGAGCGTCGTAGTCAGCTTAGCAGGAAAGTTGGGGGTAAGAAGGTAAGGAAGGAGCTTTAGGAGACGGCAAGCCATCATGGACATTCTCGTAGCTCCACAAAAAAGCGAATTTGGGATGAAAGGAGAGAATAATAATAATAATAAAGGGCCTCCCTGATCATGTTTTGTGGAGGGTGGGGTGGGGTTTGGAAGCTAATGAAGAGTGATCAAGTCATTGGTTTATGCAGTTGGAGTTACATGAAATATCTCTGGTTTATTTTGCTCGTGTCAAGTTAGAAGGAGAGCTTCCATTTCTTCTCAATGGAATTTGCTTGTGGTCAAGCTAACTTCTTAAGACAAGTTCCCCCCCCCCCCACGAGGACTAAATGAACAGGGGGAGGTTCAGGGTATCAAGGGGACTATTTTTCCCAGTCCACATTGCTAAGTGAAATGAATACACTTTGCACTTTCTGGATGATGGAGCAGAACAGAACTTCGCTCTTCTTCTGATTCTGCACTTCTCTGGAATTTGCGAGGCTGTTCTTAACCCAAAACTTGCGTGCAAAAGAAAAAGGAAAGAAAGAAAAAAGCATGCGTTGGGGAAGGTTGTGTACAAAAGAACAAAATATATATGTATATCAGGGAAATAAAGCGTACAAAATGAATATACTAGGGAATTTGCATATAAAAATGAATGCCTTCGGGTTGGGGGGGGAAAGGTTTACCTGCAGAAATGACATGGACTTCGATGGAATGGACTTTCAAAAACAGAAAGAAAGAAAGAAAAAAACACCTGATCTTTACATTCCTGAGTGAAATATGTCCGAGAGAGAAAAGTACTGCCAGAAGAAACCTCTTCTCCAGCCTCTTGACGGAGCTATCTGGGTAGCTGACCCAATGTCTGTGCCTCAGTGGAGATTTAGATGTGGCCGAAGCTTGCACTCATTGTGATATTGAATGTTTTCTTGTGGAATGAGAGGGGTTCAGGGCAAAGAGAGTGGGGGGGGAGACCAATACAGGACAGAGGTTTGTTGAGTTAACAGTAACAGAATTGGAAGGGACTTTGGAGGTCATCTAGTCCAATCCCCTGCTCACGCAGGAGATTAGAACCAAGGACTGCAAAAAAAAATTGACTTAGGGTGGACTCGCCACAAGTTGCCGCACCTAATTCACTTGGCTGATCTCCAAAATGTTAAGCACATTTGGACGAGGATAGCAATTGAACGGGAGATCGCCAGAAAATGTAAGGTGTGGGTGTGTCCGTGAAGCCACCAGGAACTGAGTTTGACCCCACCTCCCCCAGAGAGTCTTTATATCTACACTGCAGACATACGCACATATTTAACCATCTATCCCTCTCTCTCTCTAGGGACTCGTAATCACTGCATATCTAAGAAGTGGGTTGGGGAAGTGAGATTTCTTAATACGTTGTTATTGCCCTCTCACCAAAACACAGTTCTCAGGATTCTTTAGCAGAAGCGGCAACATTTTTTTAAAAAAATCGTATTGAAATATCTAGGTTTGTAAGCGAGTCGATGTCCTTGATTACGTCTAACAGCTCTGACAGCAACGTTGAAGGCTTGGTCTATCCCATGTTGTTGCACGTTGAGGATGCATTTGGATATTATTTGTTCCTGGACCAAAGGGGATCTAAATGATGAACCCCATTATGTAATTATGTTGGAAATTAAAGTTACAAAAGGGTTGTGCACATCTGGGAGGAGACCCGAGAAATCCTTGAGAGAAACAATGTGCAACCTTCATTTCTCTTCCTTGCAGATGATTTTGTCCGCGATATCTGTATGTTTGACCAGCTTTAATGAATGGAGTCATTGGCTGAATATGTGAAAAGCTTATGAGTTTATGAAATATTCCAGGTCATCACCATTTTCTTCATTGTCATGATCATCACCATCATCACCACTTACCACCACACTACCAATTTCCATAATATTATGCAGAGCAAGAGATTTAAACAGCACAAATACCTAAGAATCCTGTAGTCTCAAATTTGAGAAGGAAGGAAGGAAGGAAGGAAGGAAGGAAGGAAGGAAGGAAGGAAGGAAGGAAGGAAGGAAGGAGGAGGAGACAATGAATAGATGGACTTTGCATTCATTTGGCATTGTTATAAAAAATTGTATCAAATTGGGAAAAAAATCAAGAATATGTTTAGGCTTTACCCTTTGCTATGCTTTTATACAGATATAAGAAGATCATTTTGTGGGCATCCAAAATGAAGATGTGCAATTTACGCAACCTGTTGGACCTTAAATAAGGTCCTTTGTTGAGTCTTGTCTGACTTGCCTTGCTCTTTGGGAGATAGGAGGAAGTGACACATGAGAAAAGGAACATCATCTTCCTATCTGGGAGGTAATATAGCCTTGGTCTAAGTCATGTCTGGAGGAGCTAGTGGTGGAGTGGTGGGAAAGACAATTGATGGACAACACATTAGGACCAAATTCAGCTCTCCACCGTTAAACTAAGGTCTACATTGAGGGGAAAAAACAATTGTTCTGGCTTGGAGAACCACTTGAAGTTGTAACCCACTCATTTTTTCATGAACATATTTATATGGCTCAGTGGCTAAGACGCTGAGCTTGTCGATCGAAAGGTTGGGAGTTCAGCAGTTCGAATCCCTAGTGCTGCGTAACGGGGTGAGCTCCCGTTACTTGTCCCAGCTTCTGCCAACCTAGCAGTTCGAAAGCACGTAAAAAATGCAAGTCGAAAAATAAGGACCACCTTTGGTGGGAAGGGAACAGGGTTCTGTTCACCTTTGGTGTTGAGTCATGCCGGCCACATGACCACGGAGACGTCTTCGGACAGCGCTGGCTCTTCGGCTTTGAAACGGAGAGGAGCACCGCCCCCTAGAGCCGGGAACGACTAGCACATATATGCGAGGGGAACCTTTACCTTTTATGAACACATGCTTTCTAAGGATCGTCGTGGAACGCAATGAAGTTGAAGTCCCTCCTTGCCTCTTAAGTTTCCTGATTGCAGTGTTCTTTCTTGGGTGCTATTAGTAGCGATGAGACTGTAAAGAGTTACTGATAAAAAGGATAGAGTTAGAGCATCTCCCCTGACACAGCTAGTCATCTTGATCAAGATTGCTGTTTCTTAGCCGCTAATGGCAATGGACAAAGAACAATCTTGATAAGGTTCACTGGGGAAAAAGGACTGGGTTAAACGTCTCTTCCCTGCTTGCCTCTCACCAGTCATCTTTCCCAGAAAGGATGCTTTTCTTTGCCATTAACAGTTTTGAGGAAGTTTGCTCGCTAGATGATTAGCTGTTTGGCAAGGGAAATGGGTGGGGCTCTCTAGTGTAGGCTTTGTGTCTACATGTGTACGTGCATGTGCACACTTTCCTGAAGTCACCCTCTCTCCAAAACTTCTATACATTCCCCATCTGTTGTCCTCCTCTTTAAAACAAAAAAACAAACAAAAAAATTATCAATTCCACTGTTATGCCATCTGTCATCACTTGTCTGGAATTTTATTTCAAATTGGAACAGTCCATCTTCGAATACTGCTTGGGATGTAAAAGGTTATAATATGTGCAACGCACAAAATGAAAATGACAGCAACGTATTTTGGATGTGTGGGAGGCAAAAGGCAGTGTTTTAAAAGTTTTGTTATTAAAAGAAAAAGAAGAAAAAGAAGGGAAACCAAATGGGAGGAAGGCCCCATTCTGTCTTAGGAGAAAAGGAGCTCCCAAAGGTGGAAATGAACTTATCTGGGAATGAGATGACCACAAATATTAAACGCAAACTTAAATTCCCCATGAGAGTTTCTTCTGAAGAAGAAACCCCTGAATTCCAGGGGTGGAATTCACTTACCTTCGCTACCGGTTCGCAAATGTGAGCGCGCGCGTAGAACGTCAAAAACGGGACGTGATGAAGTCCAGGCAGGTGGGCAGATCCTCCTGCCACCGCCGCTACCAATTCGCCCGAACCGGATAGAACTGGCTGAATATCACCACTGATTCCATGCCATCGCCCACTAACATATGTCTTATATTTCATATAATTTATAAAATCATAGTTAGTGGGAAGACGACTTATGGAAGGGGTTTTTTGTTTGTTTTTTTGAGAACTCTCCAAAGTGGCTTCATTTAGCTTAATCACAGCAAAGTTTCTAACAATTTTCTCACCGCCAACATCGCCCCTCCACTAAAGTGTTTAAGCACCGCTTGGGTGAAGCTTAGAGCTGCAGTGAAATTTGTATAAATTTCTGGGAAAGCAAACGGTAGGGATCTCAGCAGGAGTATCCAAAGGTGGTCTCTGATTCCCAGAGCTTACGTGACGAGCCAAGTTCTGAGTAAGCAGAAAACTTGCCATCCCCTGGAATGAGTTTTACTTGATAGTCTGCCATTTGACAGTTCCAGAAGCCTTGCAAATTTGACTAACCCCACACCTCTCAAGAATACTGTAAGTGGATTTCGTCAGGCTTCTTTTTCTTGTTCTTAGATGCAACCCAGATTTTTTGTCCTTTTCTTCTGCCTTTCCCCTTCACGGTGTGCTGCTGGGAAAAAATAAAAAAGGAAGAACGCCAGTTGCTAAAGAATTACTCTTTAGAATTTACATGATTTTGCAGCATTTACAGAAGTTGTGAGTGCTCCATCACGGGAGGCTTTCAAAAAGAGACCGGACAATCATTGATCTGAAATGGTATAGGGCCATGATGGCAAACCTATGCCTCGCATGTCAGAGGTGGCATGCAGAGCCCTCTCTGGGGGCATGTATGCTGTCGCCAGCTGCTCTTCTGGTTTCCAGTGTGTGCATGTGTGCCCTGACCACCTGGTCTTTGGGTTTCCGGCATGCATCTTCACGTGCGCCCGAAACCCAAAGACCAGCTGGCCGGTGCATATGTGCACTGGCTAGATGGTCTTTGGGTGTCTGGCAGGCACTCGGTGCCAAAAAGGTTCACCATCAGTGGTATAGGGTCTCCTGATTGAGCAGGAAGTTGGATTAGAAGACCTCCAGGATCCCTTCCAACTCTATTGTTCTACGTTCTCTGTTTTAAGAGAGAAAACTGGGATCTAGTCTCAGAGCAAGAATTCCAAATAGGTATCCATTTGGAAATCTCAGTGCCATCTCCCATAGGTTCTTCAGGCAGTTCAGAGTGATGCAGAATGATTCCAAATTATTAACCTCTTTTAGTCTATTAAGAGATAGAGGGACAAGCTGTAAGCATCTCCAATCTTAGCATCCCTGATCCAGAGGTCTGATTCCTTTGCAGAAGGGAAAGAATTAATCATTGAGTTGAGACAAAATTAAATCTAACTCCTCTGGGATCTTGGATGGTTGGACCCTGGTGTACATAGACACGTGTAGGTATGATGTGCCCCCTTCCTTCTTTCAGAATCAATAAGGCACCAGCCAAAATTTTCGCTCACACCCATTGAAGGGTACTCTAACCTTCCATCCAGATCTACTGAGTCTACAAATCAGTATATTCTCAGCTACGGGATGGGGATTTATTTTAGGTAAAGGTAAAGGTTCCCCTCGCACATATGTGCTAGTCATTCCCAACTCTAGGCGGCGGTGCTCGTCTCAGTATCTAAGATGAAGATCCAGCACTGTCCAAAGATGTCTCCGCAGTCATGTGGCTGGCATGACTCAACGCCGAAGACGCACGGAACACTGTTACCTTCCCACCAAAGGTGGTCTCTATTTTTCTACTTGCATTTTTTACGTGCTTACAAACTGCTAGGTTGGCAGAAGCTGGGACAGGTAACGGGAGCTCACTCCATTACACAGCGCTAGGGATTTGAACCGCTGAACTGCCAACCTTCTGATCAACAAGCTGAGCAGGTTACACTGATAGAGACTTTAACACAGCACCTCTCAACCTTTTGGCCACCAGGGACCGGTTCCGTGGAGAGAGGATTTTCCATGAATTGGAGGGTGTGTGTGGTTTTGCCTGCTGCCTGCATCCTACGGATGGGGCTTCGCTAGTTGGCGTGGACCGGTTTCTAGCATGCTGTGGCCCTGTGCCAGTCCATGGACCAGGGGTTGGAGACCCCTGCTTTAAGACACCTATTTTATTCTTTATGTATTTTTTTAAAAAAAACACTATGAAAATGTAATGCAGAAGATCTGCAATTTTCATGAGTGTGAAACAAAGACCACGGTTTGCTCCCCACTGCATTTAAGTATCGGTCATGGTGGAACCACCTTTTGGATGTTCTGATGGGATGGTGGAATTTCTGCCAAATTCCATCATCTCGCGCCCGTTGTGTTGTTGCAGCCCAGGAAAGCTTTGAAAATGCCCATTTCCTCCCTAAGCAAAGCACCAAGTCTCAGCAGGAAGGCGGAAGGGCAGGAGAGAGAATCTGTGAGAGCAAGCATGCCATTAGCCTCCGCACAGTTGCCATTCAACGGAGTTTCTCACAAATCCTGCCTTAACGTAAAAGGGGAGAAAGGCTGGAAGCGGAGGCAGCAATCAAAGAGGAGGAGATTTCATTCTGGGGAGGAAAACAGAAAAGGAAAGGCAGGGGACAAATGTCAGCTTTTCTGGCACAAAGTGCAAACTGCAGTAATACACTCTGAGTGATTTGGATTGTTTAAAGGTGAGATTCTGGACAAGTGTTAGCAGAAAACAAACAAAGCTATCAACACACTTCTCCCAATATCTATCCCTCCCTCCTTTTCCTTCCTTTCCTTTCTTCTTCCTTCCCTCTCCTTCCCTCCCTCTCTTCCTTTCCTTTCCTTTCTTCCTTCTTTCCTCTCTTTCCTCCTCCTCCTCCTCCTCCTCCTCCTAATTCTTCTCCCCCTCCTCCTTCTAATTCTAATTCTCCTCCTCCTCCTCCTTCCTTCCTCCTCCTCCTCCTTCTAATTCTTCTCCCCCTCCTCCTTCTAATTCTAATTCTCCTCCTCCTCCTCCTTCCTCCTCCTCCTCCTCCTCCTCCTCCTCCTTCCTTCCTTCCTTCCTCCTCCTCCTCCTCCTCTTCTTCTTCTTCTTATAATAGAATAACAGAGTTGGAAGGGATCTTGGAGGTCTTCTAGTCCAACCCCTGCCCTACACCACTTCAGACAAATGGTTATCCAACATCATCTTAAAAATTTCCAGTGTTGAAGGCAAGTTGTTCCGCTGATTAATTGTTCTAACTGTCAGGTTAGAACAATCTTCTTCCTCTTCCTCTTCCTCTTCCTCTTCCTCTCCTCCTCCTCCTCCTCCTCCTCCTCCTCCTCCTCCTCCTTCTTCTTCTCTCTCTCTCTCTCTCGTTTTTCTTCCTCCCTTCCCCCCTTGTCTGTGGCAGCTCATTCCAGAGGGCTGGTGCTCCCAGAGAGAAGGCTCTCCCCCTGGGTGTTGCCAGTCAGCATTGTTTGGCCGATGGCACCCTGAGTAGCCCCTCTCTGTGGGAGCGTATTTGCCAGTGGGAGGTTATTGATGGCAGAAGGCGGTCTCGTATATACCCTGGTCCTAAGCCATGGAGCGCTTTAAAGGTGGTAACTAACACCTTGAATCGCACCCGGAAGACCACCGGGAGCCAGAGCAGCTCGCACAGGAGGGGTGTTACATGGGTGCGCCGAGTCGCACCCATAACCACCTGCGCGGCCACATTCTGTGTCAGTTAATCATTTCATTTGCTGGGCAAAACGTCATGGGATAATCCAGTAATTCAGAATTAAGATAACCATGGCAAACAAGTCATTCCAGCACAGGGACAAAATATGAGTTGGTGGCCGAGAATGCGTTGAAGTACAGCTTTTGAAATTGGCTTTCCATGATTATTTGATTTCTTGGATCAGTTGGACACTGCTCGCAACCCAACGAATCAGGAATTGTAGCTTATCCATAGGACTTTCTTTGTGGCGCTGCTTTCTGTATGCGTCAGGCAAATTGAAACAATTGCTCTATGATGCCCTTGAATTTGTAAATGTTCTTTCAATCTTCTCCATCCAACTGAGATCTGTTTTCCTGACACAAGAAGCAGCAATCTCACTGCCTCCTGTTTCCATAACGTCTGACAAATGCAAGGCTAGAAAACACACAGCGGAGAACAATTTTGCGTTCCCTCTGGGAGTCAGGCTGGGTTATCTAATAGACCATTCTCATCTCTGCCATCTTTGCCACCAGTTTCAAAGCTTCCTTTGTCCAATCAGACATTCATCCCACTGTTCTTGGTTCCTCTCACTTTTTTTCCCCAAGAACTTTTGCCTGGGGAAGGAGACTGGAGAAGCACAAGCAGCATCTGACTCAGAAAGGGTGAGCCGGGCCTGAGACAAATAAGATTTTCTGATAGAGTCCATTCTGCCAAGCATAACCAAGCACATTACAAGTAGCCCTCGACTTACAACTACAATGGAACCCAAAATTGTTGTTGTTAAGCGAGACATTTGTTAAGTGACATTTTACAGCCTTTCTTGCCACAGTTATTAAGTGAATCACTGCAGTTGTTACATTAGTAACAGGGTTGTTACGCGAATCTAGCTTCCCCATTGACTTTGCTTGTCAGAAGGTTGCAAAAGCAGATCATTTGACCCCAGGACACTGTCATGAATATGAACTACCGTGTTTCCCCAAAAATAAGACCAGGTTTTATATTATTTTTTGCTTCAAAAGATGCATTAGGGCTCATTTTCTGATTAGGTCTTATTTTTGGGAAAATACGGTACTAATTGTGTCCATCTGGCTGATGATCTTAACTGGAGCGTATTTTGGGGGTAGGGCTTATATTACAAGCATCTTGAAAAATCATGCTAGGGCTTATTTTCCAGTTGGGTCTTATTTTCAGGGAAACGGGGTAGTTGCCAAGCATCTGAATTTTGATCACATGATCGTGGGGATGCTGCAAAGGTTGTAACTGTGTAAAAATGATCGTAAATCACATTTTTCATTGCTGTTATAACTTTGAACGGTCTCCAAAAAAAGTGTTGTAAATTGAGGACTATATCTGTAATCTGTGGCCTGAGCATAAAATCTGCTGAAGGATGGAGGTTTTTTGTTGTTTCATGCATTTTCACAAACTCTGCTCAAGTGTTGGAGCTTTGACTGGGCTGTGTGATTAAAGGAAAGTGTGTGTGTGTATGTGTGTGTGCGTGCGTGTGCATGAGTATGTTTAGGGTTGTACTTAAACCTGCTCATCCTTTTTCCATTACAAAACTTTTTCATGGCATGTATAAAGCTAGTGCATCACTTCTTATTTACAACTACTACCATGTTTCCTCGAAAATGACCCTGCCTTATATTTTTTTGAACCCTGAAATAAGCGCTTGGCCTTATTGCCATGTGCTCAAAAGCCTGAGGGGATGTCTTATTTTGGGGAAAACAGGGTTCTTCCGTTGAGTTTACTGGCGTGTGTGTATATAACTTGCGTCTATACTCCATGTTGAAGTCGGGAATGCAGTCGCTTGGAGGATTCACACAATACATTGATGCACCAATTGATCAGATAGGCTGATTTGCATAAAAAAGGAATAAAAAGAAATCAACAACTGAGCTTAAAAAAAAAGAACTGTATTCTATGCCTTACTGAACTGTGACGCTGTATATCATGGCAAAATCATCTCCATTTT